CTTTTGTCATGGTCAGCCCTGTGCTCGGAGGGGGGATGGGCCCCCACTTGCCCTACAGGGATTCCTGTCCAGCCACGGGGAGCTGCGGCCACCGTGGCCTCGGTGGCAGCGTCCAGTCTCCTCTGCCCCCCCCCCCCCCCGGGGCAGGAGGAGGCCGCGATCACTCTCGCGTCCCTCCCAGATTCCGCCCCGTGGGTGATGCGCTCCTGCCGGGCAGAGGCTGGCCGGCGGCCACGGCGTTTTCTCCTCATGGGAAAGGGAGCCGGGTTCTGTGCCAAGCCTGGAAATCACCTAGAACTCCCGGCCTTCCGCCCAGCCCGGTCCTCGGGGGTCCTCGGGCCGCGGGCCTCCATGCAGGCGGGGACGGCTGGCTTGGCTGGGCGGTGGCCGGTGCTCCCGGGGGATGGGGGGCTGCTCCGAGGAGGAGGCCGGAGGACTTCCCCATGGCGGGGAGTTCCCATAGGGCTCGGGGTACCGGGCGGGGTGTGGGTGGGAGCCCTGCCTGCCTGCCAGCCTCAGCCTGCGGCGCAGAGGGAGGCTCTGGGACTCACACGGAGTGTGTGGAGGTCACTGTGACCCGGGCCGGGATTCACGGCCTGCTGTGTCCACGGGGACTGTGGACACAGCACGTGTCCAGAGCAAGCAGGTGACACCGGAAGGCTTTATTCACTGTGCAGATGTACGCGCGCGTGGAGGGGTGCTGCGGCTCTAAAGCTCAGTGCGGACTTTGAGCGCAGCAGCCCGGGGGCCTGTGGCTTCCCCTGGGGCCAGGAGACCCCGGACGTGAGGCCAGGTCAGGAGGGCCATACCCTGTCCTTTTGTGGTGCTTGCTCTGGGCCATGGATGAGCTTGGGGGCACCCTGAGGGGGCTCTGACCCACGGTCCCACCCACCGAGCTCCCAGACCCCTGCCAGCGGCTGCAGCTGGACATTCAGGCGGTGATCTGTCACCTGGCCCTTTACGGGGCTCCCTGGACCCCCTCACTGGAGCTGAACGGCACCTCTCAGCCGGAGGTTCACACCTCATGTGTTTGGAATCACGCTGGAGTTGGGGTTTCACAGAGGGTCCAGGGCCCGGGGTGGTCCTGACCGGGAGCTCACTGCGGGGACCCCAGTGGCCCCGGGGCGGCCTCGGCCGGCGTCTGGCTCCGTCCCGGGCATTTCCGAGCGCGCACTGGCCCCAGGGCAGCTCGTCGTCCGGCCACTTTCAGGAGGATGTGGGCTGCACTGGACACTCATTTCTGCAGCCAGCATGGCGTGCGCGGTGCCCGGGGCCCGCCAGCCCGGCAGGGGCCGCGTGGGAGAGCAAGGCCGAGCTCGAGCTGGCTGCTCCCACACAGCCACGGGGAGGAGGTCAGTTTTCAGGGCTGCATTGTATTTTGTTCAGGGGCTTCTTGGCCAATCTCACCATTGACGGCGTCTGAGTGGCACCCAGTTTGTGTCTACTGCAACTGGAACACATGGTATGCGTGCCTGGGAACATTCTAGCACACACCTAGCACACGCCTTGCATGGTGACCTCCGGCTGCATTTCTGCGGGGCATGCCCGGCGGAGGGAGAGCGGGGACCGACCGGCTCCCAGTGCTCCAGGGCCTTGTGCCCGTGTGAGCTGACCTCAGCCACCGCCTTCTGTCAGGTTTTGGAAACCTGGTCCTGGCTGAGCTCTTGTCCCTTGGAGTCCTGCAAGCCAGCCGCTCGCTCTGGGGCTGTGTGGGCCTGGGAGAGGCGGCCAGAGCTCAGGGCACAATCAGTGGGGGGGTGGGGGGGTTATCGCTCCCTCAGGGACCAGGGCTGCCCGCCTCCCGCCCCCCCAGGGAGGGCAGCCTTTGATCTGCCCTCTGGGGAGATCTGAGCGCTCGGGCTGTCCTGCTGCAGCCCCGGGTCTTCTGTGAGTCTGGACGCCAGCCTGTTCTTCCCACAGCCGGCTCGAGGTTTCCAGCGCCTCCAGTCCCCAGGCAGCTGATCAAAGACCAGAGTCGCCTTATCTGAAGGCAGGAGGGGGAGGGGGCGGGGAGAGGGAGGGAGTGCTGGAAGGAGGACCGACCTCTCCTGCAGTCAGCAGCGTGCCAGGCATCAGAGCCAGCCCAGCCATCTGCACCTCAGAGCCGCGGGAGATGGGTCAGCTCACAGACACACAGACAGACAGACACACACACACAGACAGACACACACACACACACTCCTGCATGCACACACAGACAGACACACACACCACAGCACACTGCTGCATCAGAGCCAAGGGAGATGGGTCAGCTCACAGACACGCAGACAGACAGACAGACAGACACACACACACTATAGCACACTGCCGCATCAGAGCCGTGGGAGATGGGTCAGCTCACAGACACACACACACACACACTTGCATGTGCACGTGCACACATACACCCCCCTGCATGTGCACGTGCACACACACACACCTGCATGTGCACATGCACACACATCCCTGCATGCACACACAGACAGACACACACTCCTGCATGCACACACAGACACACACACACCACAGCACACTGCCGCTTCAGAGCCGAGGGAGATGGGTCAGCTCACAGACAGACAGACAGACAGACACACACACACACACACTCCTGCATGCACACACAGACAGACACACACACACCACAGCACACTGCCGCTTCAGAGCCGAGGGAGATGGGTCAGCTCACAGACAGACAGACAGACAGACACACACACACACACACACACACTCCTGCATGCACACACAGACAGACACACACACACCACAGCACACTGCCGCTTCAGAGCCGAGGGAGATGGGTCAGCTCACAGACACACACACACCCCTGCATGTGCATGCACACAAACAGACACACGCACGCACACACACCACAGCACACCAAAGCGGGCACGCAGGTGGCTCTGATGGACGGGAGGGGGCCCGGGTTAGGTCAGGGGTCAGAGAAGGCCGGGTGTGAGGGCCTGGTGTTTAAAGCGGTGCTGCTCAGGTCTGACTTGCTCCCCGCGTAGAGTTGGAAAAGGGCTGCCGTGAAGCTGGAGCTCTGTTCTGTGTGCCCACGGGCCTGGCGCCTGCGTGTCGGGCGGGGCGCGGCACGGCGCGGGGCGCGGCACGGCGCGGGGCTCGGCACGGGCGGCCCTGCCCACGGTGACACGGGTGGAGGCTCGCCCCCGGAGCACGCGTTCCGCAGCCTCTGCTCTGTGTGGCCTTGGCTTCCTCGCCTCCACACGGCGCAGCGAGCGCCGGCCGTGGCTGGGGCCGTGGGGCCCCGCTGGGGAGAGGGCCAGGGTGGCCTCGTGTGCCCAGTGTGGGGAGCCCCCCTCCGAGTTTGAAACAAGGGACCCCGCGGGGGTCTTTGAGATGCCACCGTGGCACCGTGGCTGCCCAGAAAAGCTCGGCAGAGGTCTACGCAGGGCCTGCTCCCAAGTGCCATCCGCCCCGCGCCACATCCCCAGGGAGGGCTTTCCCGATTCTGCAGGCCGGGTCCCCGCCCGGCCCCTCCTCCTGCCCAGCCGCTGCCCCAGCCGGTGCCAGGGTGGGAGCGGGGAGCAGCCGCTCCGCCAGCTGGGAGCAGCCGCGGCTTAAGGTGCGTTTTGCGGGTCTTTAGCTCATTGGTAGACAGACACATCGGTAGACACGCAGCCTGTGAGCGGCCATCCCGTGCCGGCCTGGGAGGAGGACCGCGAGGGAGCACCGCAGGAGAGGCGGCAAGGGTGCCCAGACTCGGCTTGCGCATCACCCCGATCCTGGTCCCCGCAGGCTGCTCAGTCCTCGGGGAGACGTCTGGGGGGCGGGCAGTCATCTTCCCGGCCAGAGGAGGGTGGCAGCAGCCGGGGTGAGGTGAGGGCCGACCACTCACCGCCCCGTCCTCCTCCTCCCCACACCCCTGCTTCCCTGCCGGCCACGCTGCCACTGTGGGGAGCTGCTCCCCAAGGCGGTTCGGAAGCAGAGACCCCTCGTGACCCCTCGTGCGGCCGCCGTCAGGCACCGCATGGCCTGGCCACGGCTGAGCAGCTCTGCGGTGCTGACTCCGACTCCGGCAGCGGCGGCCGAGCCCGGGGTCCGGTGCCAGAGCCGGGGGTCAGCATGCGGAAGGGACTGTCCCGGGCCCCCGGGGAGTGGCCTTGTGCTCCCTCTGCGTCCTTGTGCGTGTACGCGGGATGTGTGGACAGAGCCAGGCTCCTGTGGGCAGAGTGCTCTGTGATTTCCTTTCCCATTCGCAGATTCGGTTCTGCACCCACGAGCTCCGGGCTGTCTGGCCGTTCCTGCCTCCTCACGCTGACCGACCGCAGAGCAGCCTCTGTGCATCCGATGGCCTCCCCCCCCCCCACCTCCCCCGTCCTCCCTCCCCCCGCCAGTATTGGGACTTGAACTCAGGGCCTGGGCACTGCCCCTTAGCTTTTCACTCCAGGTTGCCATCCTACCACACCTCCACTCATTCCTGGCTCTTTGCTGGTTAATTGGAGATAAGAGTCCCATGGGCTTTCCCGGGCTGGCTCTGAACCCCTCCTCAGACCTCGGCCTCCTGGAGAGCGAGGATTACAGGTGTGAGCCACCGGCGCGCACTTACCCAGCGGCCTTGGCTTGTGTTCTGATCAGCGGGGTGCTGGACGCGGACCAGGCTGGGATGCTCAGCCCTGGCACGCAGGCGGAGGCCGTGGGCTGGGCCCAGGTTTTATCAGGCGTGGGTGTGGCGGGATGGATTCCTCTGGGCTTTCTGCCCTCTGGGCTTTGCTCTGCCTGCTCAGCTTTATCAAAGACTGCTGAGGCTGGGCGCCTGGCACTGTGTGCTGAGCATGTGCGGTGGAGGTGTGGTGGGAGCCTCGCGGGGCTGGAGCCCGGGCTGCGCAGCCTCGCACTGGGAGGCCTGCGGAGCTCCTTCCTGGCAGGGCCGGGCGGCGGGCCAGCCCAGGAGCCGCGCTCCCCTGCACCCGCGGCTCGGCCGGCAGCTTCTGCAGCGTCAGCCCGGCACTGCCCAGGTACCCTGCCAGGGCGCGGGTGGAGCTGGTGGTCAGGGCCGGAGCTCACCCGTGCAGGCTCTCCTCAGCCTCAAGTGGTGTTGGAGCAGTGGTGTGGGCCATGTGCTGTGGGCTGTGGGGTGTGGGGTGTGGGCTGTGGGCTATGGGGTGTGGGCTGTGGGCCGTGGGCCGTGGGGTGTGGGGTGTGTGGGGTGTGGGCTGTGGGGTGTGGGCTGTGGGCCGTGGGCTGTGGGGTGTGGGGTGTGTGAGGTGTGGGCTGTGGGGTGTGGGCTGTGGGCCGTGGGCTGTGGGCTGTGGGCTGTGGGCTGTGGGGTGTGTGGGGTGTGGGCCGTGGGCCATGGGGTGTGGGCCGTAGGGTGTGGGCTGTGGGCCGTGGGCTGTGGGCTGTGGAGTGTGTGGGGTATGGGCCGTGGGCTGTGGGGTGTGGGCTGTGGGCTGTGGGCTGTGGGGTGTGGGCTGTGGGCTGTGGGGTGTGTGGGGTATGGGCCGTGGGCTGTGGGGTGTGGGCCGTGGGCCGTGGGGTGTGGGCTGTGGGCCATGGGCTGTGGGCTGTGGGGTGTGGGCTGTGGGCTGTGGGCCGTGGGCCGTGGGCTGTGGGCCGTGGGCCGTGGGCCGTGGGCTGTGGGCCGTGGGCCGTGGGCTGTGGGGTGTGGGCTGTGGGCTGTGGGGTGTGGGCTGTGGGCCGTGGGGTGTGGGGTGTGGGCCGTGGACCGTGGGGTGTGGGCCGTGGGCTGTGGGGTGTGGGCTGTGGGCCGTGGGCTGTGGGGTGTGGGCTGTGGGCCATGGGCTGTGGGCTGTGGGGTGTGTGGGGTATGGGCCGTGGGCCATGGGGTGTGGGCCGTGGGGTGTGGGCTGTGGGCCGTGGGCTATGGGCTGTGGAGTGTGTGGGCTGTGGGCCGTGGGCTGTGGGGTGTGGGCTGTGGGCTGTGGGCCGTGGGCTGTGGGGTGTGGGCTGTGGGCCGTGGGCTGTGGGCTGTGGGCCGTGGGCTGTGGGCTGTGGGCCGTGGGGTATGGGCTGTGGGCCATGGGGTGTGGGCTATGGGCTGTGGGGTGTGGGCTGTGGGCCGTGGGGTGTGGGGTGTGGGCCGTGGGCCGTGGGGTGTGGGCTGTGGGCTGTGGGGTGTGGGCTGTGGGCCGTGGGGTGTGGGGTGTGGGCTGTGGGCCGTGGGCTGTGGGCCGTGGGCTGTGGGGTGTGGGCTGTGGGCTGTGGGGTGTGGGCTGTGGGCCGTGGGCCGTGGGGTGTGGGCTGTGGGCTGTGGGCTGTGGGCTGTGGGCCGTGGGCTGTGGGGTGTGGGCTGTGGGCCGTGGGCTGTGGGCTGTGGGCTGTGGGCTGTGGGGTGTGGGGTGTGGGCTGTGGGCCGTGGGCTGTGGGGTGTGGGGTGTGGGCTGTGGGGTGTGGGCTGTGGGCCGTGGGCTGTGGGCTGTGGGGTGTGGGCTGTGGGCCGTGGGCTGTGGGCTGTGGGCTGTGGGCTGTGGGCCGTGGGCTGTGGGGTGTGGGCTGTGGGCCGTGGGCTGTGGGCTGTGGGCCGTGGGCTGTGGGGTGTGGGCCGTGGGGTATGGGGTGTGGGCTGTGGGGTGTGGGCCGTGGGCTGTGGGCTGTGGGGTGTGTGGGGTATGGGCCATGGGCCGTGGGGTGTGGGCTGTGGGGTGTGGGCTGTGGGCCGTGGGCTGTGGGCCGTGGGCCGTGGGGTGTGGGCCGTGAGCCGTGGGCTGTGGGCCGTGGGCTGTGGGGTGTGGGCTATGGGCTGTGGGGTGTGTGTGGTATGGGCCATGGGCCGTGGGCTGTGGGCCGTGGGCCGTGGGCTGTGGGGTGTGTGGGGTATGGGCCATGGGCCGTGGGCTGTGGGCCGTGGGCCGTGGGCCGTGGGTCATGGGGTGTGGGCTGTGGGGTGTGGGGTGTGGGCCGTGGGCCGAGGGGTGTGGGCCGTGGGGAGGCGGTAGTCTCTTAGGTTGAGTGGGCCGTGGCGGGGTGAACGCAGCTGTGAGTGGCCGTGGCGGGGTGGACGGCTGCTGAGTGGCCGTGGCAGGGTGGACGCAGCTGTGAGTGAGGAAGCTGGCCTGTGGCCCTCACTGCTCCAGGTACCTCCTTGTCAGCAGAGCGCCTGAGCAGGTGACAGCCTCCCAGTGAGGGCTGGACAAGGACTCCGCCTAGCACTCACTGAGTGGTGACAGGGTGGATAAGGACTCAGCCTAGCACCCAGTGAGTGGTGACAGGGTGGAAGAGGACTCAGCCTAGCACTCACTGAGTGGTGACAGGGTGGAAGAGGACTCAGCCTAACACTCACTGAGTGGTGACAGGGTGGAAGAGGACTCAGCCTAGCACTCACTGAGTGGTGACAGGGTGGAAGAGGACTCAGCCTAGCACCCAGTGAGTGGTGACGGGGTGGATGAGGACTCAGCCTAGCACTCACTGAGTGGTGACGGGGTGGAAGAGGACTCAGCCTAGCACTCACTGAGTGGTGATGGGGAGGGTGTCCAGTACCCAGCACAGGCCCGGCCCCCAGTGCAGTGTGGCTGCACTGTCCTGTGGAGTAGGTCCAGGGCCCCGCTTGGGCCTGCTGGGGGCGGTGGCAGGGGCAGCAGGAGCCTGTGGCTCCTGTGTAGAGGGCAGGCAGAGGGGCAAAGGTCAGGCAGGAAGCCAGTCCTCCCCACAGTGGTCCCAGTGGCTCCTGCAGAAGCAGTGTCCTCCCTGCTTGGAGGGGAGGCTGAGCTCACGTCCTGAGCTGGAGGCTGGAGTTGCGAGGGAGGCCACAGGCAGAGCCTGACCCCACGCCCCCTGGCCCCCTGCAGGACGGGGCCACGGCCGTTCCCGCAGCGCCGTCCGGCCCCAGCCCTGGCTCCGGCGCTCCCGGAGCCCGGGTGCCCGGCGCGCCGCCCGCACCTCTTCCTCCTCCACATTCAGATGTCAGCCTTTGAGCTGTGCTTTCCTCTCCTGGAAAGTGCTGAAGGGTGGGAGCTAATTATGGCCCGCTGCAGGCAGCCCAGGCGCGGGGGGGGGCGAGGGGGGGGCGGGCTGCTCCCTGGGAGCCGCTGAGGCGGGGGCGGGTGTGGAGGGAGGGCGGGAGGAGGGCCGGGCCCTCCCCCAGGGACCCAGCATGTGCTTTGTTGAGCACCCATCTGGGGCAGCTGCTTGGCCAGCACCTCCACCTGGCAGTCACTGTGGGCGCGGCCGTGAGCACGCCCCGCCGCAGGGAGGCTGCGCTGCGCGCACAGTGAATAAAGCCTTCCGGCGTCACCTGCTTGCTCTGGACACGTGCTGTGTCCACAGTCCCCGTGGACACAGCAGGCTGTGAGTCCCGGCCCAGGTCACAGTGACCGCACCTGGGCCTGCGGGTCGCTTGGCTGGCGCCGGCTGCTGCCCTGCTCTGGGGCGTGCAGGGGCCAGGAGGCGAGAGGAGAGGGAGCCATCCCCCCCAATCCCCCGGTCCACCTCATCCACCCCTGTCCACCCCCGTCCACCTCATCCACCCCTGTCCACCCCATCCACCCCTGTCCACCCCATCCACCCATCCACCTCCATCCATCCCTGTCCCCCCTGGCCTCCCCATCCCCCTGTCCACCCAGGGGTGGGCTCCAGCAGAGCCCACCATGAGCCACCAGGAAACAGCCCATGCCCACCCGTGAGCCAGACTCCAGCCACGCTGGGGAACAGGAGCCACATAACAGAGCATGCCACAGGCGACCTGGGCCAGGAGCCTGCTGCTGGGTGTGTAACAGGTCGTGCACAGCCAGAAGCCTGCTGCTGGGTGTGTAACAGGTCATGCACAGCCAGGAGCCTGCTGCTGGGTGTGTAACAGGTCGTGCACAGCCAGGAGCCTGCTGCTGGGTGTGTAACAGGTCATGCACAGCCAGAAGCCTGCTGCTGGGTGTGTAACAGGTCGTGCACAGCCAGAAGCCTGCTGCTGGGTGTGTAACAGGTCGTGCACAGCCAGGAGCCTGCTGCTGGGTGTGTAACAGGTCGTGCACAGCCAGGAGCCTGCTGCTGGGTGTGTAACAGGTCGTGCACAGGTGACCTGGGCCAGGAGCCTGCTGCTGGGTGTGAGGCAGGGCGCTCAGAAGGACTCACAGCATTTGCGATTGTGTCCCCTACACCAGAGAGTCACAGTTGGCACACTTTGATCTTCTGGCCTTCCTTCCGTCTCACTCGGGCCGTGGCGTGGCGTGGCGTGGCGTGGCGTGGAGTGGCGTGGCGTGGCGTGGCGTGGAGTGGCGTGGCGTGGCGTGGCAGAGCTGTCCGTGCTGTGCAGCTTGTGGCCAGGTCTCCTCTGCCCCTAGGGAGTCAGCCGGGAGCAGAGGAGGCGGCATGCGTGGGGAGATTGAGTCCCCACGGACGCCTGTGGAGGCTGAAGCGCCGCTATTGCTCCCCAAGCCTCACGGCGCAGTGATGATCTCCGCGCCACGTCCACGGGGCCTTCCAGGGACCCCGAGGTGGCCGGGTGAGTACTGCGCCGGGTTGGGGGGGCCTGCGCTTCTGTAGACCCTGGCCAATGCAGGGGTCTGGGAGCCAATCCTGTGAACACGGGGATGACGGATTCACCGGGGCACATTCTGCTCACTCAGTGGGCAGGCAGGGCTGTGCCCGGCAGCCTGCAGCCTGGCATCCGGGTGTGCAGTCCCTGCTGGCCTCCTTTGAGGGAGAGGCCCGGCCCAGCCTCCTGGCCCTCCTGGCCGAGGTGCTGAGCAAGGGCCCTGTGCCGGGAAGGCTTCCGCTCTCCAGGCCAAGGCTGCAGCCCTGCCCAGCCTGCCCTGGCCGCCTGCTGCTGGCCTCTGACCCTGACTAGGGTCAGATGGGTGACATTTGTCACCAGGCTTGAGTGGAGGGAGGCAGGGCCTTCCTGAGAGGAAGCCGGGTGAGGGGCCGCGGTGGCCTTGGACTCTGAGGCCTTTGCAGATTCCGGGTGGACGGTGGGGAGGGGAATGGCAGATTGTGGGTGGGCGGTGGGGAGAGGGAGGGGCAGCAGGTGGGAGGGGTATCGATTTCTCAGAAGACACAAGGTGAAGCTGTCCTCCCCGGTGAGGGTTTGGGAAATTCTGGAAGTTTTCTCTCCCAGTACAGCTTTCCCCACACTCACAGGTGCCAGGTGAGCCTCGGCGGTCAGGAGCAAGCCAGCCGCCCAGGCCGGGCAGGGCAGGGTGAGGCCACGCCACGGCTCCGTGCGGCCGTGGTGCTGTGTCTGCAGGGACAGCCGGGCACTACCTAATTTCATTTATATTTTGAACTATGCAGACCAGGCTGGGCTGGAGCTGGCCAGCCTCCAGCCTCTGCGTCCTGAGGGCCGGGATGACAAGGGGGCTGGACGGCTCGCGGCTGGCATCTTGCTCTGAAGGCAACCCTGCTGAGCTGAGCAGACCCCGCTGCTCAGAAAAGCAGAGTCAGGCTGGGAAGGGCCCAGGGAGAAATCCATGACGCCGCTGTTCCCTCTGCGTCCGGCAGAGGGCAGCCGATTCCCAGCAGCTGGGGACGCTGGCGGGTCCCCTGAAGCTCAGTCCTGCGATTGTCCCCTCCTCCTTCCCGGGATCTGGAAGGCCTGGGTGCGTGTCTTGGGCTTTTCCCACACAGCAATGGCTTCTAGAGAATTTAAGTCTGGCCAGTCTGCCCCACTCCGTCACTCCCCGGCCGGCCCACTGGTGCCACAGCCCCAGAGTCCCCGGGATGTCACAGCCAGCGGGGAAGTCCCCACCTCAGTGGGAGGAAGACGCTGCCACCGTGAGATTCTGCTTCTGATTAGCTGTGTGACTTCTGACAAGTCACTTAACCTCCCTGGTCAGCTTGCTCTCCTGTTCAGTGGGGTTCTGGCTTAGCTCATCTCAAAGTCCCTTTCAGCATGGGGGGGAGGGGGGAAGGAAGGGATGGAGGGGGAGGGGAGGAGACTCCTGGTGGGGCCTGAAGATGGAGCAGCCTTCCAAAGATATGCATAAACAGGATGAGTTACTCGGCTGCAGGGGTGGGCCCTGGCGGTGTGCAGCCGTGTTTATCTCTGGCTGTGGAGTGGAACTGGGGTGACTCCTGGCCCAATTGCCAAATGGACGCATGACCCCGGCCACCCCTGACTCCCTGGGCCCCCCACGGCCTCATCCACCCCTGCGGGGCTGTGAGTTTCTGGCGTACCTCCTCACCCACTCTGGTCCCTCCCTCTGCCCTGCGGCCTGTGCACAAACACAAGAGCTTACCTGACAAACAGCTGAAGGGAAAGGGCATGGCTCAGTGGAAGAGCGCCTGTCTAAGAAGCAGGAGGCCGGGCTGGGAAGGTGGCTCAGTGGTAGAGCGCTTGCCTCGCATGCATGAGGCCCTGGGTTCGATTCCTCAGCACCACATAAAAAAAAAAAAAGCAGGAAGCCCTGACTTCAAACCCTAGTACTGTTATCGATCTATCTATCTGTAAAAACATGGCAATTTGTTTATAAAGAGCTATATATCGATACAGCCAATTCATCTCAAAGACATTCAGTGAATTATCTCTTTAATTTTTTTTTTTTTTTGGTCGGCCGTGGGGCTTGAACTCTGGGCCTGGGCGCTGTCCCTCAGCTCTTCAGCTCAAGGCGAGCACTCTACCACTTGAGCTACAGCACCACTTCCGGTTTTCTGGTGGTTTATTGGAGATAGGAGTCTCACGGTCTCTCCTGCCCGGGCTGGCTTTGAACCGCGATCCTCAGATCTCAGCCTCCTGAGTAGCTAGGATTACAGGCGTGAGCCACCACTGCCCGGCTCTCTTTAATTTTTTAAAATTGGTTGTGGGGTGAACTCTGGGCCTGGGCGCTGTCCCTCAGCTCTTCAGCTCAAGGCTAGCGCTCTACCACTTGAGCCACAGCACCACTTCTGGCTTTTTCTGCTTATGTGGTGCTGAGGAATCGAACCCAGGGCCTCATGTGTGCCAGGCAAGCGCTCTACCACTGAGCCACCTTCCCAGCTCAAATCCTCTGTTATAAAACAACTTGTGGCATCTTCTCCAGGGCTCTGGTCAGCTGACGCATTGATGTGAGTCAAGCGTGCACCCACGTGACCCTGGCCAGCGTGCCTGGCCGCCCTTGCGCCCGTGGCAGCCACTGTGGCGCTCTGAGTCCTGTTATGCAGGGCTGTGGGGGGGGGCAGGTGACCCCGAGGCCGGGGAGACAGCCTGCAGGGCCACGGAACTGAGTCCTGATGTCTGTGCCTGTGAGCTGGTGGTGGCCCTGGGGTGCCTGGAAAGGCAGAGCCCCCCCACCTAGTGCGCCCTCCTGCGAATGGCAGAGGTCTCCAGGCGCTGAGCTTGGTCTATTCGGAAAGCTGCCCGGGTGCGTGAGCAAAGGGCCTGCCTCTCCCAGCCGGGCCTCCACCCGAGGCCTCCAGGGCCGTGGGAGTCTGAGCTGCCCTGAGGGTGGTGTGGGCCACGTGAGGTTCCCTCGGCCCAGCCAGCCTCTCCCACGGAAACGGTCCCGCGTGCCTAGAGATCCAGAGGGGCTGCGGGCCGTGTGGCGTGTTGTCTGGGGAATACGGGTCTCTTCCCAGGGGAGGGGCCGGCAGCGCAGCCACGTGGCCAGAGCCAGGCGCGCAGAGGGCATTGCGCCCCTTCCCTCCCGGATGGACTAGAGCGCCGGCGTCTGGGGGCTGCTGTGGTTCCCCTGGGCTCCCCCATCCAGGTGGCCAGAGAACTGGGTGCCTGTGCGGGCACGGGGGTGAACCTGTGCCCCTGGCGGGCGGTGCCCGGCTTTATCCTTCCTCCCGGTGCCGCCCTCCTCTCCATTGTGCCCGCAGCCTGGCCCGGCCCGGCGGGGCCTCGCCGGCTACGGCGTTCCGAGACGCCATTCTCACATTTTTCTTCCAAGACAGCTCCAACGTAAACAGCGCTGGCCGGTGGGCATCCGGACTCCGGGGTCCCGCTGGCTCTATCCGGTGCTGGTCACTTCCCCAGGGACGTGGGTGAGGGTGTGGCTCACAGGGCATTGGCATGTCCAGGGCTGGCCTGGAGGCTGGGGCCAGCCCCGTGTTTATCTGGCCGGGCCACGTGACCTTTCCACGCTTGCTGCAGGACGCAGGTGGCGGTGGGCGCGTGGAGTCTGCTCTACTCGGCTCCACAGGAAGTTTACGGCTTGAGTGTGGAGGCCTGGCCCCTCCCTGCTGCCGAGGGGGGCTGTGTGGAGAAACCGTCCGGCCATGGCTCTGCTCCCCCAGGACGCCGGGGCCTGTGTCACCTGCCACCCAGGCAGACCAGGCGGTCAGGGCTGGCCTTCGCGGGAGGGGCTGCCCCCCCACTCCCCCCCCCCCCGCCCCCAGAGAGCCTCGCTGACCCTTGGCCTCTTCAGACTCGACTCGCAGTGACACGCAGCCCCAAACAGAGGCTGTGTCAGCCTGGGCCCAACCTCCAGAGCGAGTGTGTGGGGCAAGATCGGGAACCTGGCTCCCGAGGTCCTAAGATGTGCTCACTCAGCAGGGAGAGGTGGCACACAGCGGGTAGGGAGATGGCACATAGGGAGATGGCACAGGGGAGATGGCACAGGGGAGATGGCACACAGGGAGATGGCACAGGGGGATGGCACAGGGGGGATGGCACACAGGGGGGATGGCACAGGGGAGATGGCACACAGGGAGATGGCACACAGGGGAGATGGCACACAGGGAGATGGCACACAGGGGAGATGGCACACAGGGGAGATGGTACACAGGGAGATGGCACAGGGGAGATGGCACAGGGGAGATGGCACACAGGGAGATGGCACAGGGGAGATGACACAGGGGAGATGGCACACAGGGAGATGGCACAGGGAGATGGCACACAGGGAGATGGCACACAGGGAGATGGCACACAGGGAGATGGCACACAGGGGAGATGGCACAGGGAGATGGCACACAGGGAGATGGCACACAGGGGAGATGGCACACAGGGGTGATGGCACAGGGGAGATGGCACACAGGGGAGATGGCACACAGGGAGATGGCACAGGGGAGATGGCACACAGGGCAGATGGCACACAGGGGAGATGGCACAGGGGAGATGGCACAGGGAGATGGCACACAGGGAGATGGCACACAGGGAGATGGCACACAGGGAGATGGCACAGGGGAGATGGCACACAGGGAGATGGCACACAGGGAGATGGCACACAGGGAGATGGCACAGGGGAGATGGCACACAGGGAGATGGCACACAGGGAGATGGCACAGGGGAGATGGCACACAGGGAGATGGCACACAGGGAGATGGCACACAGGGAGATGGCACACAGGGGAGATGGCACAGGGAGATGGCACAGGGGAGATGGCACACAGGGAGATGGCACAGGGGAGATGGCACACAGGGAGATGGCACACAGGGAGATGGCACACAGGGAGATGGCACAGGGGAGATGGCACAGGGGAGATGGCACACAGGGAGATGGCACACAGGGAGATGGCACAGGGGAGATGGCACACAGGGAGATGGCACACAGGGAGATGGCACACAGGGGAGATGGCACAGAGGGAGATGGCACACAGGGAGATGGCACACAGGGGAGATGGCACAGGGAGATGGCACAGGGAGATGGCACACAGGGGAGATGGCACAGGGGAGATGGCACAGGGGAGATGGCACAGGGGAGGTGGCACAGGGGAGATGGCACAGGGGAGATGGCACAGGGGAGATGGCACACAGGGAGATGGCACACAGGGAGATGGCACAGGGGAGATGGCACACAGGGAGATGGCACAGGGGAGATGGCACACAGGGAGATGGCACACAGGGAGATGGCACAGGGAGATGGCACACAGGGAGATGGCACAGGGAGATGGCATACAGGGGAGATGGCACACAGGGAGATGGCACACAGGGAGATGGCACACAGGGAGATGGCACACAGGGAGATGACACACAGGGAGATGGTACACAGGGGAGATGGCACAGGGGAGATGGCACACAGGGAGATGGCACAGGGGAGATGGCACACAGGGAGATGGCACACAGCGGGTAGGGAGATGGCACACAGGGGAGATGGCACAGGGAGATGGCACACAGGGGAGATGGCACACAGGGCAGATGGCACACAGGGAGATGGCACACAGGGAGATGGCACACAGGGAGATGGCACAGGGAGATGGCACACAGGGAGATGGCACAGGGAGATGGCATACAGGGGAGATGGCACACAGGGAGATGGCACACAGGGAGATGGCACACAGGGAGATGGCACACAGGGAGATGACACACAGGGAGATGGTACACAGGGGAGATGGCACAGGGGAGATGGCACACAGGGAGATGGCACAGGGGAGATGGCACAGGGGAGATGGCACACAGGGAGATGGCACACAGGGAGATGGCACACAGGGAGATGGCACAGGGAGATGGCATACAGGGGAGATGGCACACAGGGAGATGGCACACAGGGAGATGGCACAGGGGAGATGGCACACAGGGAGATGGCACAGGGGAGATGACACAGGGGAGATGGCACACAGGGAGATGGCACAGGGAGATGGCACACAGGGAGATGGCACACAGGGAGATGGCACACAGGGAGATGGCACACAGGGGAGATGGCACAGGGAGATGGCACACAGGGAGATGGCACACAGGGAGATGGCACACAGGGGAGATGGCACACAGGGGTGATGGCACAGGGGAGATGGCACACAGGGGAGATGGCACACAGGGCAGATGGCACACAGGGAGATGGCACAGGGGAGATGGCACACAGGGGAGATGGCACAGGGGAGATGGCACAGGGAGATGGCACACAGGGAGATGGCACACAGGGAGATGGCACACAGGGGAGATGGCACAGGGGAGATGGCACACAGGGAGATGGCACAAGGGGAGATGGCACAGGGAGATGGCACACAGGGAGATGGCACACAGGGAGATGGCACACAGGGGAGATGGCACAGGGGAGATGGCACAGGGGAGATGGCACACAGGGAGATGGCACACAGGGAGATGGCACACAGGGAGATGGCACAGGGGAGATGGCACACAGGGAGATGGCACACAGGGAGATGGCACACAGGGAGATGGCACACAGGGAGATGGCACACAGGGGAGATGGCACAGGGAGATGGCACAGGGGAGATGGCACACAGGGAGATGGCACAGGGGAGATGGCACACAGGGAGATGGCACACAGGGAGATGGCACACAGGGAGATGGCACAGGGGAGATGGCACAGGGGAGATGGCACACAGGGAGATGGCACACAGGGAGATGGCACAGGGGAGATGGCACACAGGGAGATGGCACACAGGGAGATGGCACACAGGGGAGATGGCACAGAGGGAGATGGCACACAGGGAGATGGCACACAGGGGAGATGGCACAGGGAGATGGCACAGGGAGATGGCACACAGGGGAGATGGCACAGGGGAGATGGCACAGGGGAGATGGCACAGGGGAGGTGGCACAGGGGAGATGGCACAGGGGAGATGGCACAGGGGAGATGGCACACAGGGAGATGGCACACAGGGAGATGGCACAGGGGAGATGGCACACAGGGAGATGGCACAGGGGAGATGGCACACAGGGAGATGGCACACAGGGAGATGGCACACGGGGAGATGGCACACAGGGAGATGGCACACAGGGGAGATGGCACACAGGGAGATGGCACACAGGGAGATGGCACAGGGGAGATGGCACAGGGGAGATGGCACAGGGGAGATGGCACACAGGGGAGATGGCACACAGGGAGATGGCACACAGGGAGATGGCACAGGGGAGATGGCACACAGGGAGATGGCACAGGGGAGATGGCACACAGGGAGATGGCACACGGGGAGATGGCACACGGGGAGATGGCACACAGGGAGATGGCACACAGGGGAGATGGCACACAGGGAGATGGCACACAGGGAGATGGCACAGGGGAGATGGCACAGGGGAGATGGCACAGGGGAGATGGCACACAGGGAGATGGCACAGGGGAGATGGCACACAGGGAGATGGCACACAGGGAGATGGCACAGGGAGATGGCACACAGGGAGATGGCACAGGGAGATGGCATACAGGGGAGATGGCACACAGGGAGATGGCACACAGGGAGATGGCACACAGGGGAGATGGCACAGGGGAGATGGCACACAGGGGAGATGGCACAGGGGAGATGGCACACAGGGAGAGATGGCACACAGGGAGATGGCACACAGGGGAGATGGCACACAGGGAGATGGCACACAGGGAGATGGCACACAGGGAGATGACACACAGGGAGATGGTACACAGGGGAGATGGCACAGGGGAGATGGCACACAGGGAGATGGCACAGGGGAGATGGCACACAGGGAGATGGCACACAGCGGGTAGGGAGATGGCACACAGGGGAGATGGCACAGGGAGATGGCACACAGGGGAGATGGCACACAGGGCAGATGGCACACAGGGAGATGGCACACAGGGAGATGGCACACAGGGAGATGGCACAGGGAGATGGCACACAGGGGAGATGGCACAGGGGAGATGGCACACAGGGAGATGGCACACAGGGAGATGGCACACAGGGGAGATGGCACAGGGGAGATGGCACAGGGGAGATGGCACAGGGGAGGTGGCACAGGGGAGATGGCACAGGGGAGATGGCACAGGGGAGATGGCACA